TTCTCGCAACTTAAGAAGTTTTTATTTGTGCATCCGAATTACGTTGATGGGTGGCCCCATAATCGTTAGCAATACATAATAGTGGGTGTCAATGATGGTCGGCAGGTATTGTGCTTTGCATAGCGCGTGTCGGCGATGATCGAGGCTGCTCCGCCAATATATTTTTTCTCGCAAAACCTGTCGAAGTTTGATATATTATGAAATGTGATAAGCTGGCTTTGCCAAAAAGAGGGACCGAAATGCGGCCATGTGATTGGCTGAGCTACCCGTTGGTTAGCTCGCTAACCATCGTTTAGTAGCGATTTAGTAGCGAGACGTTTGGCAATAGGTCAACAGCCGGCATGGTCAACCATTTTGAACGTGCACCGGCGTGCGTCCTCGGACTCGAGGGGCGCGCATCAACCATGTCGACACGATGTAGGCCGCCGCGCCGCGCGTGCGCTGACGGTCGATCCCTTGCAGGTGCAGACTGGTCCGTGGCGCCCACGGCCCCTCTGCGGCACGCCTCCCGTACCCGACTATGGCGTACAGCACCCGGCTGCGCACACCCGGCGCTTCGTCGAGACCACCTTCGTGCAACAGTACCGATAGCAGCAGCACGTGCGCAAGGCTGTCGAAGGAGCGACCATTGCGCGGCGCAGCGCTGCGCGGCCGGCGTTAGACGAGCGATGGCCGTGGGATGAGCGCGAGCATGCACGCCGGCAATGCGCTCATCGTGTGCCGCATCGACACCATCCTCTAGGTACAGATCGCTGCTAGTAGCTAGGTGGTCAAGAACCGCAAGAGATACGAAGACGTTTGGCTCGGGGACATGCTCGTCCGGCGTGAGCGTCGGCAACGCGCCGATGATGGCGCCTGCGCAGCAGGAGCTCAAGCGCCGCGTGCGCCACGGCTCCGTCGCCTACCCATACACCGCAGTGGAGAAGGCTCATAGCCGCTGCCATGTAGCGTAGTGCCAGATAACGCAATAACATCGTGTTTTCGTGGCTTAAACGCGAGCGCCCACGTGCAAACCCAGCGGAAACTAGCCATGACCGCAACTGTCTTGACTAATAATGCGCACCGTGCCGCGCTAAGCACTAAAGCGGCTTGGATCTTAGCACCAGGAAGAGACGTGGAGTTGTGGCAGTGAGCGCTGTGGAGAAGAAGTGCCGTGACCAGGAGCTCCGTCTCGCCCCCGAGCTACATTACGCATAGCGTTTGCGCTTTGCTGTTAGTCCACGGATATCCCTTGAGCAGGAGCGCAAACCACTGGATAGCGGTCATCCGTTGCTATTCAATGGCCAGCGCTCCTCCTAGCCGTCCGCAGCCACGCCTCAAGCGAGCGCTAACCTGAGCTCTAATCATTGAATAGCGGAGGATAATCCGAAGGTTTGCCATTTCAGAAATGCAAACCTTCGGATTATCCTCCGCTATCCATTGATTAGCGCTCAGGTTAGCGCTCGCTTGAGGCGTGGGCTAAGGTGTCAAATGACAAAAGAGACAAAAGCGGGTGGCCTGCTCGACATCTTTAGTCAAACCATAAATATAGCATACAAATACATGGCGTATATTTTGTAATAGTTATATTCTTTTTTGGAGACTGTCCCACCAGAATTTATAATTTACGCATGTCGCGCTATGCCTCGATTATCTAATAAAACCATCGATTATCGCTGCTAATCGATGGTTTTTTGGAGGTGAAAATGGCCACGCGCTATGCAAGCCACAATAGGAGTTTTTCAGGTAGCGCCAAATCATTTTGACGGCTTTTTGTCCAATGAAAAGGAAGCACTCGATCGGAAACATTCCCAAACAGGTCGCTCCACAGGTCCTCGGCAGGTCGGCCAGGTCTATCGAAGGTGTCGACCAATAGAATCGCGTTACTGACTTGATTGGCCGAGAAGCATCGCGCTCGGCCATTTTTGATTTTGCATCGCACAGCACAGGTCGAAGCGCCGCCAACGATGCTCTGACGTGACCACTGGGAGGCTCCCACGGACCCGCCCTGGACGCCGCATGTGTATGGTGGCTCACAGCAGCGACGGCAATGGGCTTGATGGCTAGGTGCACTCACGGGAACCGCATTGGCAGGGCGGCGGGCATGCGGGCCAAGCCTCCGCGGCGATGTGTACGTACGGCCTCGACAACGCGACCTACGCGAGGCGCTAGCAGATGCGCGCATCATCGTAGACGAAGCAAAGATAGCTTAGGTCGCCTCGCTGGCCGCGTGTGCATCGCGGTCGACGTCCATGAGGCCAAGGTCCGGGTTTCCGAGGTCCGGGTTTCCTACCTGCCAAACTACCTGTACCTGCCACTCTACCTGCACGATTTTTCGCGCAGGTAGAGCGGCAGGTACAGGTAGTTTGGCCGGTAGATTTCGCAAAAAATGGACTCAATTTTGGCCAATCAGATCGCGTAAAAAAATCCTACCTGAAAAACTCCTACCTGCCGACCATCATTGACACCCACTAATATATGCATGAGTTGGTTTGTGATGACACTTTACTTGGACGGGTGCATTACCGTAGATACATTACATCTATTCATGAGATTATTGATTTGACAGGTTGTCCACTGACACATTCTACACCACGGTCTTGTCGGGAAAAAGCTCAAACGAAGTGGTGTGTTCGCACGGCGTCATTGGCACGGTTTCAACACTCGTCTTTTGGACCACGGCGGCCTGTTTGTGGAACTGGCCGTCATGGACGGCCGTGCCCACAAAGAGCACAAGCATTCCGACGAGCTGGAGGTAGCTCCAGTGCGTCCACACCTCGCCAAATGCACCATGAGTGATGGCATGGTACAAGACGAGGTTCACGGCCCACACACCGCCGGTTCGAAAGTTGTTCATGATCGAGACCCAGAGAGCATCGAGCTGAAAGAGTACGAGCATGCGAAAGACGTTCATGAGCAAAAGCGCGACGAGCTGCGCAAGGACGAGCCATTGGATCGATCTCGACGTCGCGAGCACTTGGAGGGTGATATCAAGGCGCTCGTAGGACCCAGCGTCGTTGCCTGGCACGAGGTACGCGATCGGGTATGCCAGAAACGTCGTCAAGACGAGCCCCCACACGCCTTGTACGCTGACGAGTGCCATCGGTGGCAGGGCTACGCTCGGGTCCGAAAGCAAATACTCTTCAACGACGCTGTGCATGGCGCTGACGACGCAGCTCAAAAATGAAAAACCGACGCCGAGGAGCGGGTTGGCCGACGCTGCAGAGTGGCCTGCGCCGAGGATGCTTGACGTGCCGACGAGGCAAGCGGCCGCCATGTTGAGGCAAACCCCGAGCCACTCGTACGTGTGGATCGTGTGGCAGAGAAAGATGCGCTTGAAGAGCGCGACAAATGCGATTTGGCTGCCAATGATCATCGTGTCGACGCTCGGCGAGATGTAGAGGAGTGCGAGATACCCAAAGAACATCTCCACGAGCGCAAAAAGCGACGGGATCGCTGCGAGGAGGAAGCCACGGCGCGTCAAGATCCGACCTACAGGTTGTTAAATGCATGAGGTTTCTGGCTTTTCGTCAGGATGGATGCTTATTACCGTTGCGGAAGAGGACGTGCAGCGGAAACGCCAGGACCATGCTCAAAAACATGAGCCAAACGCAAAAGAGGGGCCGCTCAAAGGCAAACGTGCGGTCGTCGACAGTTACGTGGACCTCGTACATGGCCTTGACCAAGCTGGAAAAGTGTTATTCACTCGGAGTATGTAGATGCGAGACATACATGATGGCGGGAATCGACGTGATGACACCGAGCGTAAAGACGATTGCGCTTTGCTTGCCGCAGGACATGGTTGATCGTCTTCGAGTGGTGGCGAGCAAAAGAGAAAGTGATCAAGTTGGGAACGATCGACATCGCGGTGACGACAACGTCGCGCGCGATCATGGCCGCACACAGGCAGCTCACCGCCGCATGGTGGTGGCGCGCCTTTTGTAGACCGTGCGGCTTAGATGACAGTGCCAGATGGCGTTGTGCAGATTGCGCAGTTGAAGCTACTATACCTTGTTGCTGGTGAGGTCGGTGATGTGGTATGCGAGTGGCCAACAGCATGATGTCAAAATGTGCCCCAAATGGTGCACGTGTGGATTCCAAAGCCAGTCGCTGGAACAAGTGGACCATTCACCGTGGCACCGTCCGTGCGATGAAGCGATGGTTCACTTTGCGATTGGCTATCTCGTGGCGAGCGGTCATGGATGATCGATGGCGTCTACAAGTGTGCGACGTTGCCGAGCCTCGGTGTGACCCGTGACGGTGAACCTTTCTTCCTATAAACGCACAATGAAGCTGCCAAGACCAGCGATCCGTGCTACTGTAGTACGCATGGTATATGTGCCAATACGCACCTCGCGAACATTCGT